TGTCAATGGGGTGAGGGTGTGGAGGGGGAGACACCTTCGTGTTGCGAGCTAGCTTAGCGCTACGCTAGTGCTGTCAGTTGTTGCTTGAGATGCGTGAGCGAAGCAGAGCCCTACTAACATCTTGCATCTTAGCTAGCGCGTCTGTATTGTACACTGCTAGCTTAGCGCTACATTAGTGCTGGCAGTTGTCGACAGGAAAGAAAGAGGTTAAGATGTGTGAGGGAAGTGGAGCGTGCTCTATTCACACAAGGAGAGCTGTTGGTCAGGCTACTTCTTGTTGCTCTCTAAAATAGTTATTGAATCAAGTGTTTATATATGTAGATGTTTAACAACCATTAAAGTACACCAGAATACAGGAAATGGCATCTACTTTATTCAAACTTTTATGGGGGAAGACCCACAGACCCCCGACCAGTATGCCTCTCCCCACATTACAAATTCTTCTGACCCAGTGACATAAACAATAGTACAATGGCGGATAGCAGAGTGCTGTTTGTGCCCATCACCCTTTTTTAATGTGTAGTAGCAATCCAACCTCCATCTTCTCCATCTTTTTACAGCTTTTACATTTTAGATGTAACTTTTCACGCCCGACTGAAGTGTCTGCGTTCGATCGCATGTTGTAGGAATACAAAACGCAGCGCCACCTAGTGACCTGGCATGGAAACTACGGTGGATTTAACCAGCAGTGTTTTATGTAAACGTACAGTCGATATGGGATAATTGCATAGATCTAGAGTGAACAGAGCCGTAGTGTGGTAGAGTCCTTCACATCAAGTACTCCAAGTTTGAGATGTTGCCCGAGATCGTAACGTAACTTACGAGGGTCGTCCTAATTTTTTTTTTTTTTTTTTAAATTTCTCAACAGGAGATGTGAGTTTAAAACTCAAAGCGTTGCCACATTTATGAGTTTGTTGTTTTCCATTAAACTCTGACCCTATTTGACCCGCGGTGCCGCTTCGCTGTCGGAGGTCGAGTTCTGGTTTCAGTAAAGGAGACCTGAGCAGCAGGTCTTAACAGTTCCAGGAGAACCGCCTGATCCACTCGTTCCTTCAGGTTCATATCCCAGTGAGCCAGACTGTCTGTAGTCTGGATCAGAACCAGACTTTCTGTAGTCTGGATCAGAACCAGACTGTCTGTAGTCTGGATCAGACCTTCTCCAGGCCTTCTTTAATGTTCTTTATCTTGAGCATCTTTTCCATCTTGTCTTGTCTGTTTTTATCAGAACCTGTGTCTGCACCTCCTCCATCCTCTCAGATTTCAGTGTCATCACTCCGGTATGTTCTCACCTGACCCGCCTCGTGGATCATCCCCGCCCCTTCCCGGTTGTTGTTGTTGTTGTTAGACTTTGAAACCAGTTCTGAGACCAGCTGGACTTTCTGCAGCGTCTCTGCTTTGGTTTGTTTCTGAAGGGTTTGAATTAAAGCGCAACCAAATCAGCCGGATTAATAATTAACTATAAACGGACGGTGTAGCTCGGTGGTTAGTGCTGCGGTCTTCTAGCCCTGAGGTTGTGGGTTCGAGTCCAGGTTGTGTCAGGAATGGCCTCTGGTGTAAAACAATTACTAAGTCTTTGGTGCGAGTTAGTTTGCTGTGGCGACTCTGAACAAGCGGAGCAGCCGAAAGAAACTTACCTTTCAGACTGTGTAACTTTAATGTCATTATATTTGTAATATTTAAAGTTAATATTTATATATAATATTTATATAATTTATAGTTGATATTTATATATAATATTTGTATATAATATTTGTTGAGTGAAAGTTGTTATTCCTCTTGTTTTTTTCTGTGCTCCTGCATCCCTCACCACAAAACATAAACAAACCATGTGTGAAACAAGTATTCACTACATGAACTGAAGACTTTAAAATCAATGCTGCTAAAGCTAATGCTAATGCTGCTACCGCTAACGCTAATGCTGCTACCGCTAATGCTGCTACCGCTAATGCTGCTAATGCTGCTAATGCTAATGCAGCTAATGCTAATTCGAGTACTACTAAAGCTGTTTTTTCTTTATTCGGCTGCTCCTTCTTCAGGGGTCGCCACAGTGAACTAACTCGCACGAAGACTTGGTAATTGTTTTTACACCAGATGTTCTTCCTGACTCAACCACAGACCTCCGAGCTGCCACTGCCTCTTTGTGGAGCAGAGAGCTGCCATCTGGGGCACCTGGGGGAGCAGATGGTGGGGGTTAAGGGCCTTGCTCAAGGGCCCAAAGTGGAGCAAACAAGGGTGTAGAAGATGTGGGTACTTCTTCTTTTCCATCCCCCCCCAAAAAGCTAAATGCTAATTCTACTCATGCTAATTCTAGTTTTGAAGCTTGTGTTCTTATAAATGTAGCTAGCATTTTGTTACGTTTAACATTTAGCTAGCCTTTGGCTGTTTTTGGCTTGTAGTCTTTTTTGCTAAAGTTTAAAATCTTTGAAATAAACATTTTTCACATTTGTGTTGAAAAAAGCTCGTGGTCGGGAAACAAAACGACTAAAAACAAAACTGACTGAATTAATTAGAAACTCTGATTTGAAGTTGATTTCAGCTGCTGAACTCATTACAGCTGCACCGCTGGAGTCCTTCGCGCCGTAAAGGCTCCATGACTCCAGCTGCTGTTGAGTAACGACGGTTCTGGAGACGCTGGTCTGGGTTCAGGCGTGATGCCAGCCAGCTGTTTGTCTCTGGAGCGGAAGGTCGACGGTTCGATCGCCCAGAAGAAACTCTGTCGTCGTCTCGGTGACGTTTGTTTCTTCACTCATCGAAGACTTTGACGACGTAACCGTTGGTTTTGGTCTTGAGGATCCAGAACTTTCAGACAAACCAGGAATTTTCCGTTTCTTTCAGCTCTCGGAGCTTTTTCCGCCCCCTCCTCGTTTCCTCGCTCAGTTTTCGTGCTCGGACTTGTTCGGCCACTCGCGCTCACAACACCTGGTTCTGGTTCTGCTTTCAACAAACACCGACGCTCCTGAAACGCAGAACGAGAGGCTAAAATAATGTTTAGACTCACTGAGTTTACGACAGACAGATTCTTCGGCTGACGGGTTTTAAAGAGACGGAAAATCAACAGTCTGACTCAAGAGGTGCCGATTAACCTGCTGATATTCAGTCACACCTGTGCTCAGGTAATCCCAGTAATCCAGCACCACAATGGAAAATAAAGATGAAGCAGCAGCTTCTACAACCAGCCAACTGTCCGTTCGTCCATCCATCCATCCATCCATCCATCCATCCATCCATCCATCCATCCATCCATCCATCCATCCATCCATCCATCCATCCATCCAACCACATATCCATCCATCCATCCAACC